CCGCCCGCTCGCTCGCCTGGGCTTTGGTTCGGAAAGGCTGTGACTTGTCAGCTGCTGCCCAAGTCGAATGAGCCGCCGACGTCCTTGGTTTTATGTTTGTCGAAATTCGATCTATCCTTGTCGGCAGAGATATCTTCATGTCGCTTCCATTGTCCGTTTCGCAGGTCACTTGGTCTCGCACATGCGCTCCCATTCGGGCGAGAAACCGCACGCGTGCACACTGTGCAGCAAGGCTTTCGTCGAGCGCGGCAATTTGAAGCGCCACATGAAGATGAATCACCCGGATGCTATGATGCCGCCACCACCCGTGCATCCGCATCCGCAAATACCGGCTGGTGTGCTGACCCAAGTCAAGCAGGAAGTGAAACCGATCATAAGTGAGTCGGACACAGAACACACGACAGCCAGACACGCCGCACGACCGTGTCTGTCTACGTCCAGTTCAATTACCCAACTGACCGCCTCTTCCCCCTTTGCAGTTCCCCATCATTCGGCGACGACCACAATGCACACCATACAGCAGATAACAGCGGGCGCTGCAGCGGCTGGCGCTGGTGCCGTCCAGCTGACGCCCGGCCTGGTGCCGCTCGTCACCAGCACCCTCATCTCCCATAATGCCCAGCAGTCGCAGAAGCAGCAGCAGCAAGTGGCTGCTGCAGTTGCTGCCCAGCAGCAGGCGGCAGCAGCAGCCGCTGCCCAGCAACAGGCAGCCGCGGCGGCCCAGCAGCAAGCGGCGGCGGCAGCAGCACACCAGCAGCATCAGCAACAGGTGGCCGCACAGCAGCAACAACAACAGCAGCAGGCAGCAGTTGCTGCACACCAGCAGCAGCAACAGCAACTGCAGCAGCAACAGTTGTTGCAATTGTCCATACAGCAGGCGGCGCATCATCATCAGCAGCAACAGCAGCATCAACAGCAACAACAGCAGCAGCAGCAACAACAACAGCAGCAACAGCAACAGCAGCAACATCATCCACAGCAACAAGCGCATCCACAAGCGCCGCCACAGCAGCAGCAACAGCAACAGCCACCACCGCAGGTGCCCATTGCATTGATAAGTGATCCAAGCGCGCTGGCTCGTGCCGCCATGCAGTTGCAGCATCTGCCAACAAACGTAGAGCAGCATCCGGTGGTTTACTAACAGTAGCCCCTCCTGCCTGGCTACCCGACGACAGCGGCGGCCTCAACAACAGCCACAACACAATGGTGAAGCACACAAAATCCGGCGGCCAATCGAAGCAACTGAAGGCAACAACAGCTATAAGAACATACAGCATACAGCACAGCAAGATCCCTCACATCCACATAAGCAGCTAGTTATATATGTATATGTATATACATGTATACATTTATAGTTTATAGTTTCGCGCGCTGGTTACGCCTTGAACCCGATAGAATGTCTCTCCATCTATATTCATCTCTCTGATCAGGCGCCCGCTTGCGCAACGTGCAATACAAGAAAAACAAACATCTCATAGTTTCCCTTCATTGTTCTCTAACCGATCTTGTTAGGCGCTTAGCGTCTATATATATATGATAAATACTTCTCACGTCCCTGTTACATTTATGAAATGTACGCGTAACAAAGGCGCTGAACATGGCCGTTAGCTGTGCTACCGGCCAAGTTAATGAGAGAGTTCATCAATGGGTTCAACAAGTTGTAATCAGTTTTTAATAATCGTTCACGATGTGCAAATGAAATATTGGCTTTGTGCAATAACTCCGTCTTATTGTCTGCCTGTCTGAAATTGAAATTTATGATATATATTCGCATATACTAAACCCAGATAAAACAAATGTAATCCTATACGGACTTATCATTGGAATTCAAGCAAATCGGGAACCCTAAATATTTCACAGTTACAGAGCAAGGATTACTAAGTTTTGCAGGCGGATCACTGTTAACCTTTCCTAATGACCTATGAAATATGTGGTTCGCCCATCCCATTTCAACATAACTGTTTTTGATCGTGAACGAGTATTACTCAGTCGGTTGCGCCCGGCTGCAATGTTTTGAATTGTTTATTTTTTTATTATTATTTTATATTATGGCGCATGTATTTCTTATATTATTTCTCATTAAGTTATGCATAGGAAGTGAGAGAGACAGACATACACACATACTTACATGGCATCCTCATAACAGTACACTATTCATGAATATATAAATTATACATACTTTGTATATAAAACTGCAGCAAAACTTTGAGAAATCGCCGGAACATTTTGTATTATTTTGTGCATTTTGTAAAGCAAAGTATGTTACGAAACAAACCGCTTAAACAGTTATGCATACACATATATTATAAACTACACAAATATTATACTATATATATATCAGCGCCCAGTTAATATAGAACACACCTCACCCCCTTAACCTTCAGCCCGATTAGAGTTTAAGTCCGACAAATTGTTGCCTATGGATGATAAACCTTTGTTATATACATATAGGGCAAGGCGTATTAAATCAGTTAACTAACACGATAGTTGAGGTGGAGAAGGGGAGAAGAAGAAGCTTAGGCTAAGTCAAAAGTAAAAGAAAAAGAAAAAGAAAGAACTAACAAGAAGTTGAGAAACACAAGATGAAAAGAATTATATATTATTATTATATTTAATGTTAGTTGAACTACTAAGATGAATTAAGATTGATGATAATGACGACGAGACAAGTGAGCGAAAGTGAATTAGTTATTAGTTATTACATCTACGAAATGTGTGTGTAGAAGACGATTAGCGCATGCGCTATACGATTATGATTATGATTATGATTACGATAATATGACAAAGAGAAGAGCGAGAGAGAGAAAGAAAGAAAAGCAAAGTATGAAGTTATAACCTACTCCCAATACATTACACTACACTACATACACTACACACTATTAAAAGTTAACAAACAATAAATAATAATAATAATTATAATAAAGCTAGGCACAACTCTACAATTAATTATTAATAACAATTACTGTGCTTATGTTGAAAACAGCAACAAGATATATACAAGAAGCAAAGCCCCAAGCGCCACAAGCAACAACATATCTGCTTTAAATTTTACAAACAAACATAAAAATACAAAAAAATAAAATTAAAGATAAAACTAAAAAACAAAAAAAAAACATATACTATTATTAGATGAGTCAAGTTTATTCATTTTAAAACAAACACACACACTCTCACACACACATAATGCTTCCTTTGAAATGCAACATTTTATTAATTTAATATTTTAATTATACACTTTAATTTAATAATTAACCGAAAAAAAAACTGTACATGTACACAAATAAAACAATATACACAAAAATAAAAATAGTTTTTTTGTTCAACATTGAAATATTGATACAAATTCAGTTAATATTTTTAATTATTAAGACATTTATTGGCAGCGAAAAAAGTCGAAAAACAAAAAATAAAATAAAAAAAAAAAATATGTACTAAAAATGCAGGGAACAATTAAAAATTGTAAAAAAGAAAAACAAAAATGGAATAAAAAACAAATGTGCGCATAAAGTTTAATTGTTTATAAACATTTATGCGAAGTTTTCAAAGGAAAATCAATCCGATCATTTTGTTAAGCTTCGCATAAATGTTAAATACACATACACACATATACACAGACAGACAGACCCAAGCAAACATATTATATTTATGTAGTTGTTTTTAGCCGTGTTAGTTTTTGGTGTTTTTAAAATAGATTGGTGATGTGTATAATAGAGCGCCGTATATAGAAAGCATATAGAGTATATATATATAACAAAAAAAAATATATATATATATATATTATACGATTATTAACTAATATATTAACTGATCAACTGTATCTGTAGMATGCGAATGGCAATTTTTAATTAACAAATTCAAATTGTGTTGCAATATTTAACAAAGCGAACATTTAATTTGTAAGTTGGATAATGCATTAATCAAACATAATTTAGTACATAATAACTGTGAATGATTATTATCATTCGGATTATGATTACGATTACGATTATTGTCAACAATAAGCTGCTGAAGTCGAAAATGTTTCCTAAAACGCAGCCAATTAAAAGTAAAAGTAATAGTAAAAGCAAACGCAAATAAATTTAATAAAATGCAACAACAACAACAAATGAAAACATAAATCAGTAACAATACTAAGTAAATAGAAACAATAATGTACTATAATGCAGATACAATATATACACACTATATATACCTACAATATATGCCTATACCGACAAATGAAATTGAATGAATGAATAATTAATAATAATGCGTACATTATACATACAACATAGAATCTATATATATATATATATATTGTAAAAGTTAAATGTAACTAAATACATACAAATCGATGACGTAGTAAGCACCAAACAACAAATAAACGAAAGAAAAAATAAATTAAATAAAAAATAAGCAACGCGCAGCATAAGCTATATTACAAAAAAATTGTTTAACATTTTTTTGTTTTTGGCACAAAATGATTTAAACATTTTATTCAACTGTATGCGATTGAATGCCCTTTTAGATGCCTACGTTATTTTCTAGTTTCTAGAATTATAATATATAAAAAAAAATAATGAGTTGTTTAATTTTTATTTTCCAATTTCATTTATTCACAATAATTCAAATTTTGGAATATTATTTACTAAAGTAGAGCATAGACTTTTAAGTTGCTTTTGCTTTAACTAATTTATTTAATCTTTATTCAGCTTTTTAATTTCATTAAAATCGATAATGAGCTTCATTTGATATTAAACATTCCACTGTGGTAAGTGATCAAGGCTCTGTTAAGTTTCATCTGCACAAAGCCTTTATCAGCTGGTCAACTCTGTTAAAATCATGAAATGTTAAATTAACATATATAAGTGGCGCACTTTTCAGAAAGCACTGCCAGCATAAATCTAACATTACAGACATTGAAGAAAAACACCCTGTATACTACCGTTCAGTGCAAACGCTGCAATTGCTTGATTAACTATCGCCCAGCCATCGCCGAGAATCATCGGTTTGCTCATGTGCCATCGCTAAATAAAGAAGCTATTGTAGGTAAGTTAGGTAGGTGGACTGGTCTGCCTATAAAACCACCCTTAAAGTAGGTACATTTTAGGTAGCTCTCTGGAAGCATGGACCCTGGACAGCTGGTTAGGCTGCATTTGTTTGGCAGTGTCTAAAATGCGCTGCGCCTGCCAACAACAGGACCTGGAATTCAAGCTCAGACAGTCGACAAATGACCACAACAGGAGAAACAGGTAAGTGCGATTTTCATTGCGAATGCCATTGTCATTGCCAATGTCAATTGCTGTGTCTCGTCTCCAGAGCCCCGGCCACGATCTAGCTCGCTGCTGCAGCTGAACGATGATGTGCTGGCCCTGATAGTGGCTCAGCTGAGCGTGTATCAGCAGTTCGAGCTAAGCCAGCTGCACAGTCGCCTGCGGAGCATTGTCCAGGCGCTGTGGCGCACGCGCGTGCGCAACGTGGCGCTGCAGGACGAACTGCTGAGCCGTGCATCTTCGCGACAGTTCCAGGCCTTTATGCTGGCCCTGGCACCGCATCTGGAGCGGCTCAGCTGCCACCAGCTGGATGTGCGCCGGCTGCGTTTGCTGAGTGACCACTGTCTGCCCCATGTGATTAGTCTCGAGTGGCTGGGCGTTGATCAGCAGCCGCGACGTGGACGCGTCCGCTTCGTGGACGAGGATGTGCGGCTGCTGAAGCGCGTGTTTCCATCGCTGCGCAAGCTGAAGCTGCGCGGCTGCCAGGTGACGGGCAAGTATCTGCACGAGCTGGAGCTGCTGACCGAACTGTGCCTGGACGATTGCCAGTATCTGGAGTCGCAGTACTTTCGCGATATCTTTCGGCTGCTGAAGCTGCGCAAGTTCGACATCATGGAGGACTGCGACGAGGTCAACTGCTGTGATTTAGTGGACGTGCAGCTCTGTCCCACTCTCGAGCACATCAAGATCGCCGACTACCATCTGTGCATGGAGTCGGACATCACGCAGCAGCTGCTGCGCCTGCCGCACCTAAGCAAGCTGTCCATCTACTCCAAGAACTTTGTCTTCGATGTGCTGGAGCGCATAGCGCGACCCAGCAATACCGCAGCTGCTGGCATCAAGCAGATCGAAGGCTTCCGCTTCAGTGGACTCCTGCACGACTACGGACGACTCTTTCGCGAGCTGAGCCATCTGCGCCACCTGCGCCGACTGGAGGTGCACGGCCAGTCGGAGGAGGGGCAGCTGCAGTGCCTCAGCGACCAGGCGCTGTGCCAACTGGCGGCCCAGCTGTCCGAGCTCAGCGAGCTGCATCTCTGCGGCTACCAGCTGGAGAGTCCAGCCGGTATTTTGCAATTTGTGATCAACTGTCGCCAGCTGCGCATCTTGGACATGACGAGATCGCGCTGCATTGGTAACGCCTTCGTCGGACGCTGCCAGGCGGTGCTGGCCAAGCAAAGCTGGCGCACTCAGCCACTGGAATTGTGGATCAGACAGAGCGACATTGTGCTCAACCTGCTGCAGGTAAGCGTTCACATTAATATTTAATTGATTTTTAAATAATTCACTCATTTTTTTTGCTTTGCAGAACTTCCGCTATTTGAGAATCGATACCAAACGAATGACACCCAACATGGATTATATGTCAAGTGTGCTTAAGTTTAGCTTTGTAAGATAGTGATTGATTACCTGTTCCAACTGTGCCTGAGTGTACGGAAATACACGTACACGCATGTCTTTCCGTGTATAATCTATAATACGAAAATTGAATTTAAGACTGAAACATGCATTTTTATTTACAATTTCATCATATAGCTGAGTGGCTAATGTGTTAAGATTTCTTAAAGATTATTATATATAGGAAATATTGCATAGTTTCTTATCAGTGTGGGCAACTTGACGGCAGCATAAAATACGTATTGCCATTAGAGCCGTTTTAACTTGGAAGGCCGCGTTGATGCCTAGTTTTAGTTATTGGGCATGGCCCGCCTCCTGCAAACAGAGCGCCCTTCTCTTTCCTCGATGCTCAGGTACTCCACTATTTTCATCCTGCAGCACATTTCTCCGCGTCTGATAATAGACATTGGCTAGGCGAAAAATGTTAGTTAACAGTGAGCTGCGATGTCACTGTTAAGTACAAGCACTAAAATGTTGTACGGTACGATTGGATGGACATCGATGATATGATGTAATCAAGAATATCTATGTCAACTTGAAACCAAGCCGCTGCTAAGCAACATAATCTAATTGGCATCGTTGATTTGTTTTTCATGAAGAATTCAAACACATATTTTATTTAATTCCCATGCCATTAAAAAAATTTATCCTAATCAATTGAAAAACATAGATCACGGTGTTTATGGTATCTCCTAGAGCTAAAGCTTTCCTAAAAATTTATTGCTTAGAGTTTCTTCATCAAGATTTTAAATAGGCTTAAATAATTGTTCAGGGTACGATTGGCTCTGTAGTTCCTTTGTAACTTATTCAAAATAGTTTATGTGCTTTCCTTTCTTCAGTTAGAAATGGTTAGTTCTGTTAGATTTTTATACTCATTTTGTTTAATAATCTATAGGTTGACATCTATATAGGGTTGATAACTATTATATTATGAATTACTTATGCTTACAGCATTTATTACTTACATACACATAACTATATGTGTATGTTTATATGACGGTATAAGTTGAAAGTTGTTGCTCTACTTTTACCCACATATACATATATATATCTCTATAGTATTTGTATTTGTATAATCTGTACCTCCAGTTATGGTTTTATCAGATCAACGCCATCGGGCATTGCGTCCAAGCGATTGGAACGCGCTTCTTATCAGTGGGAGTAAACGCACAAAGAAAAAAAATAAATAAATAAATAAAAAAATAAACAGGAATAAAAAAATATTGGAAAACACGAAATTTTGTTATGTTTAGTCAATGCAGCGCCCAGTCGAACTCGACTGCCCGATTGCCCAGTTTGCCGGCCAGTGCTTTTAGGTGATAACGCGCCTCGAGTGGAGCGGTGCAATTGCCATGTTGATCCCAATTCGGGAAATGCCTCTCAGCAGTGGCTAAATCATTAAAAGATAACCCTTGCCTTGATTATGGAACTGTCCCAATCAAGCTGTTCATTAACACAGCACTAAGTACAGAGTGCACAAACATAAAAATAAAATGTAAATGTAAAAAAAAAAAAAATAATAAAAATTTCATATGTTCAGTACACTGATCAAAATTGTGTATAGCCCCAAGTGGAGCCATTGACCGTTCCATGATATCAATAAAAAGGGGCTACCATTCGGGTTGAACTCTCGATCCGATAGCAACGCATCGTCTCGTCAAAAGTATGCAACACTTATTTCGCTCAGTGCATCAACTTTGAATGTGGGAATACAGTATCAATTCGTGCCTCGCGATCACTGTTGCCTCCTCCGCTGCATAGTCACTCTCTCTCACTTATTTCTTTTAATGTCTTTAGTCGTTTTTCCGTCAAGTACTAATATTGGACCTGGCTCCTTCAAGTCGTCAGTCGTTATCAAGTCGGCATTTAGCGCGCATCGGACCTCAACTCGACCGGGCAACGCAACGCATCGAGATCGAAGATCTCTGATGATCCAGTATCAACTTGTAGGACTCGAAAAAAGTACAACTAAAAGAAAAGTGCCGATGTCAATGGAATTGTAACTTGATCAGCGTGAAGTGCGCTTCTTATCAGAGCTGTACTACGACGATAACCCAAATGGACCTTTGAGACTATTCTCAGCCACAGCAGACAACAGAAGACAACTGAAAATACCTTGCGCTTGTCTCTATTGAAAACGTGATTCATACTTATAAAACTAAAAATTTCGAAGGGTAAGTGAGCGTATACCCAGGAACACCCAGGAATAATGCCTAGACGCATTTATATTATTTATAGGATTATATATGTACATTTTATTGACCATAGAAGTTTTAAATTCACTTCAACCTTACCTTACCTTTAGACTCTTTCAAATATTTTTAAATCTTCTTGTGGTATGAGATAAATAATATTTAGACTACTGCGAGGAAAGGCTATTATATTATTCAATGATTCACTTAGGTTAAAATTACCATAGAAAATTATGCGAAAATAAATTAAAAAGTGAACACCTTTCATGTCATTTACATAAAAATTAAAAATGAAAACAAACTGGAAATTTATTTTTCTTAATTGATAGATAATAATATATGTTTAATGTTCAAAAGCAATTTTAATGTATTTAATAAGTATTCTGTGTATCAATTTAAACTAAATACATTTCTAATTATTGGGGTAGTTAGTAAAAGGTTATATATGAAATATGAAGCAACAAAAGTGGAATTGAAATATACATATATAAATGCTGTTTATATACGTAAGTTGTAAGAACCTGCTTAAAAAGTAACTAATTTGAAGTACGTGCGAATATTTTGCATGTCTAACTAGAATCAACTAAGAGATAACCCATGATTAAAGTGATTAACTAATCAGAGATCTTAAAAAATTTTATAGTAGAATATTTTATCATATCAATTTGAGAAGTAGTCCAATAAAATATTCTTAACCCACGGCTCCTACGACAGAAACCTAATTTTAGACTCATTGCAGAGCCGACTATCGTGAAGTGAGGGTCATGATCGGAAAAAATCGCATTGCATTGACCAGCCTGGTGGGCTTACTGCTCGCCACCTTGGGTCTAATATCTATTCTAAATTTCGAGCGCATACAGCGACGCACCTTAGAGTGGGTAAGTCTAAGGCGTGCTATAATGGTACATTTACATGGGCTAGTATTCAGGAACTCCTAATTGTCCACAGCTTATGGTGCTCAGTCCCAACTCGATGCTAGTCAATCTGTGGCAGACGCCCAGCTTGGCCATGACGGCAAATGTTTTCATTTTCAACTGGACAAATTCGGAACAGTTCAACAATCCCAATGTCAAGCCGCGCTTTGAGGAGCTGGGACCGTACGTCTTTCGGGAGAAACAGGAGAAGCTGAATGTGGTCTGGCATCCAGAGAACTACACAGTGTCCTATATGCGCCGCAGTCACTTCTACTTTGACCAGGAGGCGAGCGCACGAAATCTCACGGACTCCATTGTGGCCCCGAATGCGCTCAGCGTGGGGCTACTCAACAAGATGCAGAAATGGAACCCGATGCTGCGCACTCTGATGTTAATGGCGATCAAAATGAATGGCAATGAGCCGACCTTTGTGAGGCCAGCCGATGATTGGCTCTTTAGTGGCTTCGATACTCCGCTGATCAAGATTAGCAAAATGGTGCCCACTCGCATGGTGCCGGAGTTACACTTCCCATACGAGCGCATTGGCTATGGCTATCCGGTAAGATGAACCTCAAAGGCTTCCAATGGCATACATGACGACTAAGGCTCTTCTCATTTACCCATTGCAGCGCAACGACAGTGAACAGATCTATGGGCATCACAATGTCTACACTGGTCAGGACGACTTCAGCAAGCTGGGCCAAATAGCGCGCTGGCGTTACGATAATGTAACAGCAGGTCAGCCCGATTGCAAGTTGAGTGGCAGTATGGGGGAATTCCATCCCATTCCGCTGCGACCAGGCAGGCCGATCTCATACTTCGTACCCGACATCTGTCGAGAGCTGATATTGGACTATGCGGGCACGACTCTCTTTGAGGGCATTCCGGCATTCGTTTACAAGGGCACTCCACGGAATATGGCAAACGGTGAGTCGGTTTCTAGAAACTCTATATATAATATTTACATTCTCAATTTGTAGGCACCGATAATCCTGATCACAGCTGCTACTGCACGGGCAACTGCAAGGAGGTGCGATCTGGCGTACTGAATTTGTCCGCCTGCTGGTATGATGTGCCTATATTTGTCTCATTTCCACATTTCTACAATGCCGATCCGTACTACGTTGATGGAGTGGAGGGCATGAAGCCCGATAAGGATCGTCATGAGATGAGCGTCATACTGGAGCCCACAACTGGCATGCTGTTAGACATCAAAGCGCGGCTTATGATCAGTCTACTGGTGGAGCCTCGTCCAGAATCGTAAGTGTTTCTGATCATTTCCATATGAAATAAAACATCTTAAAGCTCCTCATATTGCAGCATCTTCCGAAAGTCCCGTCGAACTTTCTTTCCACTCGTTTGGGTTGACTATAGAGTCCGCATCACGCCCGATCTGCTAGTCTATCTAAATCTCCTACCTATTTCTGCACTGATGGGTAAGATCTTTAGCTGCATTGCTGTCGGATTGGGCCTCGTACTATTACTCTGGTATCCGCGACAGATCATTTTGCATAAGCACTTTATGCGTAAGATCGATATAACTAACTTGGAAAGCCGAATGCAGGCCCCGACAACTGGAGATCTTAAGACCCAAGGAGTTGAGGATTCTCCGCTACTCGTGGGGCTGCAGTTTGTGCCGTCGTCCGGTGATGCGTAGATCTTTACAGGTTTATTAATGATGATGTAATGTGATAGGGTTACAGCTATAGGGTTTACACAATTTTAGTCTAAATTTAAGGGTTAGAGCCGTAGATATTTTACGGTGCTCTAGAATGAAGCTAATAAAATATAACATGCAATGCAATTTTCTATTTTTTTTCTCTTTATAACTCAGGTAATAAATATTGAAGCTTTTCAATAAAATACAGAAAAGTTTAAATATAAAAATTAGTCTTATATATTTGAAATCAATTTATGATTGTATAATTTTTTTTTGCAATCGATCACTTATTTGTATTCCATATTATGTGAATTGAGATCAAACAAAGGCAAAGTTGAAT